TACTAGCATCAAGCGGTAGGCTAGATCAAATCTGGTGATTTCCACTATTTAAAAGTAGGCTAAATTTTTATGAAAAAAAGCTCATAACTTCCTTCAAAAGATCGTTTTGCAAAATTCGAGTTCATATTCAGAATCAGCATTTTGAGTTGCATCTTATGGTGTACATCGCATTTCAAAAAACCACGGTCACCAAGTATCTTTCCCTTGTTAGATCTATTTTCTGTTTGCGTAGCAAAATGCTTGACAGTGCCCACCATCGATTTTTTGATAGTGGTTTGCTATCAAAGATTGCCCTGGCGACACAGCAAAATTGGTGACACTTTGCTGTGTCGCCAGGGCAATCTTTGATAACGGGCCTTGAACCGTGGGATGATGCGTGTATCTCACCACCTATAACCATTTGGTCAAATCCGCACAAAGGTTACACCTGTTCTCTCATTGAGGACACGCGGCTTTTATTATGTCTACAGGGCGATCCACATCCGGATCGATGGTTTGCTTAGTCCGGCTCTGAGGCGCCGCAACGGCGCTTAGGCCCGCCTCAGCCGACCTAGGATGACGGAAGTTTACTACGGGCCATTCTTTGACAAGCGCACACAGAAAATTCGGTATTGCTGCCCGCTGGAAGAACGTGGAAGTACTGTTCGCTGAAAGTTAGGTTACGCGCCAAAATTCTGCTGACCGCTTGCAGAAAAGACCTAGTTTGCGGCCCGCTGCCTCCGAAGATTATCTGAGCCTAAGCTATAGTGTTAAGGTTAGCTCGAGCTAGAAGGTATTCTAGCACACTGTGGTGCTGAAAAAAAGGCCGTAAATTGCATATTCAACTTTTTCTCGGGGGTAATCGACGGTTGGTCCACTATACTTCCGTTAAATTTCATAGCACAAAGAATACTTTTGAATGATTTATTAGACAATCAGAACAAGGTTAGTTACAATTCTTGTCTCTGTTTATACAGCTGACGTCGTGGACTCTCGAAGAAATCAACGTTGCTTATAATGTTCCTCCAGACATAAATAGGTCGATCCACGAATGATACCAAGCAGCTTCCCTTAGAGCAGTTTTTTGATCCTTCGAGCTCCATTATTAGCAACGAGTTGTCTCCAACTCGTAGGAAAGCAGCCGGCACATACAGGGTAATCTGAAACATAGTTTTACTTCGTCGTAAACTTTGGAAACTTTGATTTACCTGCGGTCCTTGCGTAGCCCAAAATCTTCCCAGGTTGTTCCCATTGAGTATAGCGACACCTTTACCCCAGCCAGTTGTGCTTAGAAATGTATCTTTGGGTGAATCAAGAACTTTGAAGGTGCCATGGTAAACTCCATGGCGACCTGCTTCTTGCTGAAAAATATATAAGCTAAGTCGGATCATTGCCTTTTGGTACCAGGGGGAAGGGCAAACTTACCACATTCGATGTTGACCGGGAGATGTTGACGTAATCGTGAATGATGCTCAGCTTGCACTGCTTCCAGTCGTGCAATGGTTTTCCATCTAATTCCACTTCTGATAGTATGCCCTACAAAGAATATTTTTTGTTTTGGGCTTTTGGACAAAAATGAAAAAGCACTGCTCACTATAGCTTTGTCAATTTACAGAGAGTGTATGACTTTTTCTGCTCTCAAATTTTTTAATATGAAATCCAACTCCCTTCTTTCTATACGTGTTTGCT